TACAAACATCCTTGACAAATAATAGGTATATTATCCGTATTCAAATAAATATTCACACACCATCTTGCAAAAACCATTCATATTGAAAGACACTTTCGACATTAAGAGACAATAGGAGAATATCCTTTTTCAATTAAAGCTTAATGTACCCTACCGTTCGCCAGGATGTCGCGGACTCATAATGTATATCCCTATTCAATTCTTTGATAAACAATTAAGAACATACGTCGCCAGGATGCGATTGTGCCCGGCCCACACTAACGATATTAAAATGCCTATTAGTGAATAACACACATTAATAACTTTTGTATATAAAATATCATATTCGCTCTTGGCACCATGATTTAGCCGACTCTTAGTAGCCGCTATATATATATATAGCTTGCACCTGCATACTTAGAACTCTATGGTAGACTTTTCAATCAATCACATTCCGGCAAAATCCATTAATATTGAAAAATGTCCCCACCTATTATAGAGACTCTTGACCCAAGGAGTCGGTAGCCGTTTAGTCCGTCTACTGCCTTAAACTGGTGTACACGTATTTTTTCGCTCGCTCCGTCTTTAAAATAATTTTTTTCCAAGTTTTTATTTCGCTGTTTATTTATTTTTAAATATTATTTTTTTCTTAAACAACATGTTTAAATTCGAACAGTGTCCGTCGGTTTTCACACGTAAAGATAATTTGACTGTTCACCAAAAGAAACATGTAGGTGTACTTTTTCCGTGCACTTCATGCCCATCGACATTCTCTTACAAAATCAGTCTCACCAAACATTTGAAAAATGTTCATGGTATCGTACCAGCTCTTCGCCAACCATATGCGCAGCTCGACCAACCGGCTGCATCGATCGATGCTCAACCAGTACGACAGAGTGTTATACAGTTCGCACTTCGTATTACCCGGCCTACTCCTCAGGGACATATTCAGATTGCCCCTCAAGTATTTGTCCCTGATGTCCCAGCTGGTAGCTCGAACATGATGTCAGAGGACGAGATCTGCATGGCAGCAATGGACGAATTTGAAAATCAAGAAGTTCAAAACGATAATACAGGTTAATTTAATTTTTTTTTTTTTTTTTTTAATTGGAACCCGAAATAAAAGATTTTATCATAACAAATTTTTAATAGATAGGTCAATAGATTTTAATAGATTCGATATCACATTTTTATTTTCAATAGATATTAATTAGGTTTTTTTTTTTTTTAAGATTCTTACACCACATCCGTTAACGGAAAACGCACTTCCACCGCGAATACCACGTCGGCTGCTAGGGCGAAAAAAATGCGTATGGAACTAGTTAGAACCCCAGGTCTTGTTGAAATTTCCTCGTCTGCGAATCGAAAAATCGTGTGGTATTTTGCCAAAAATATTAACAATGTTCAAAATTACCCTGACTTTCTACACTCATTAAAATCCGATTTGATCGATATACTGAAAACTCATGTTAAGAAAAACGCTATCAAATTTCATTTAAAACTAGAAGCCACTTATAATAGACCACGTGTGGAAAATTCCTCAGAAAAGCGCGCATTCAAAACATCTGCACTCGAGTTGTTTAAAGAGTCTAATATATTAACTCTTGTCGAGAAATCTTTTACAAAATTATTAACGGAAGAAGAGACTTATACGGGTAGAGGAAATGGATTCACGTTAGAAGCTATAGATGGATTATTGTTAGGAGTCTATAAATACACGCCGATGTCAGGCTCATCTTATATATCCTTACCAGATAGTATAGATAGAAAAAAGGGTACAATCAATTTACAAAATAGAGATCAACAATGCTTCAAGTGGGCTATATTAGTTAAGCATGTGACGGAGCATACGAGTCGTATCGGTGAAAATTATTACAAACACGAAGGGAAATATATTTTCGATTGTATCTCATTTCCAACACCGTTATCTGATATAAAAATCTTTGAAAGAAAAAACCCATTCATCAATATTTTTGGAATTGAAAAACAATTCCAACCACCGAAAAAGTTCCCAACATATGAGGTTTTCCCACTTAGAGTTGTAGATCATGAAAAACGAGATCTTTGATCTATTATTAGTGACCGACGGCGATAACACGCAATACGTGTATATATCAAATTTGACACGACTTATAAGACGTCAAAAAACATCACACACTGAAAGAGTCATGTTTTGTAAGCTGTGTTTCACGAGTTTCGACGACAGGCCTCGAAAATATCAATTGAGTGGACAGGCTGCGTTAGACCAGCACAAACTGATATGTGGTTCACATAAACCAATATTACCAGTTATGCCGGCAGAGGGGGATTGTCTCGAGTTTGATGCGTGGAGAAACACGGAACGACATCCCATCGTTATATATGCTGACTTCGAAGCCCTACTATTGAAAGCTGATGGTGAAAAGAAGGGGAAAAAAACAGACATAATTCATAAACATGAGCTCATGAGTTTCGGTATTTTCGTTAAGGCTTCTGATGACGTTCCATCGAGTCTACTCGAAGATTATGACATACCGACTAATCCTATTATTTATCGTGGTAGTGAGGAACGTGGGGATGTAGCGGGACGTTTCGTGGAAATGGTTACTGAAATTTCGTTAAAGATAGAGAAATTGTTAAAAACAAACGATTATCAAATAATTTAACATTTATAAAATATCTATATACAGGTACATAGAGTCGTACAATTCGATCAATTTCCTTGGTAGCCGAATATATCAGTTTGAACACTGAAATGAGGAAGAACGCTACGAATGACTTTGAGAGGGGGTTTTTTAAGCTAATAAATAACGCTGTATTTGGTATGTCAACAAAATATATGTATGTATATAACTTTATTAACTTGAAAACATTTATCTACTCGTAAAGGGAAGACAATGGAGAGCATGAGAAAAAGGATACAAATGGAATTGGTATCCAATGACAGACGATTACAAAAGCTCATAAATAAGAGCACGTTTAAACATAGTACATCTTATACCGAAAATTTGAATGCCGTGTCACTAGAAAATAAGATTATTGAATTCAACAAACCTATCTATATCGGTAACTGATATTAGCTCAACATTTAAAAAAAAAAATTTTTAAAAATATTTTTTAGTTTTTATAGGTTTTTCAGTATTAGACATCAGTAAAACACTGATGTACGATTATCATTATAATGTTATGAAAAAACACTATAGAGATAATATTAAACTAATGTACACCGATACAGGTTAATAAATATATAAAACCGTTATGTTTGTATAAATGTAATATATATTATTATTTTAGATTCTCTAGTGTATCATATCAATACGAAAGATTTTTATAGAAACTTGGCAATCAACCCGAATTTGTTGGATCGAATGGACACATCTGACCTACCGACAGATCACCCTTGCCATATAGCCGAGCGTAAAAAGATACCAGGTCTATTTTCTGACGAGACCAAGGGTGCTATTATGTCCGTATTCTGTGCGTTGAGAGCCAAATCATACTCTTTCATTTTGGGTGGAAAAGAGAAAATCAAAGCCAAGGGGATTAGGAAGCATGTCGTCGATAACCATATGACGTTCGCCGATCACAAAAAATGTTTGTTTGGAGAAGCTGGTGTGGTGGCGTATAAGAATAATGTATCAATTAGGTCATTCAAGCATCAACTGATGACAATAAAAACGATAAAGCTAACTTACAACAGTTTTGACGATAAGAGGGTTATCTTAGAAGACAAAATCCATACCTTGGCTTACGGGCATTACTCAATAAAGTAAATTTAAAATAAATTATTTTTAAAATTATTTTACTTATAATATTTATAATTTTATAGGGAAGATGAACATGAACCTAGGGATGAGGAATAGCCAGATTTTCAGTAGATGCTGGTGGTCATGAGCGGGATGAATCAGATAAAAATTTTATGAGAATGCTTTTACAGGAATGCATGTCCAAATAATTAAATACCATGTATATTTCTAATTTGTAAATATCATGTGTATATATACTTTGTTATATATTATAAATACCATGTGTTTGTATATTTTTTGTTATTGTAAATATCACTCGAATAATTTTTGTATATATATATATATTAATGTAATCTACAACCATTTATTGAAAATGTTAGTTTATTTATGTAAAAAAATAAAACCAATGTTAAAATATTATTATTGTTATATTTTTAAGAATTATTTACAAACCATTTTCTTATAGTAAATACTTTATAAAATGTACATTGTTTAGGATTAAAATCTATATGAAAAATACAACAAGGTAAAGTTTCTTCATCACATATTTGATCCAAACGAGGGCAGCCTATGTCTTCAATGTTGATGAGTGCGACGTGTGGTATATACTTTATAAGAACTTGTTTTTTCTGCTCACCTTTGACGTATATTCAATTGAATTTTAATGAATTCAATATTTTACCGAGTTCTTCATACTCGATATCACCGTATTCTATAGATAGTTGATGATAATTGCGTTCCAGCCACTTGTTGGTTTTACGACTCTTATTGTCCTGCATCGAGTTTGAATGTTTAAAAATCCAATGTTGAGTCGCCCATGTTGCCGTGTCTACTATAGACATTTCTTTAATCATGTATTTATTGCTGACGCCAAGTACGCATTGTATGTCCAAGATGGCCGAAGACATTATTGCTTGTCTTTATAATACGTTTCGATAGTATTTAGACGGCTGAGTATAGCAGGTACTATGTTTTTCAACACTTCTGTACTTTCTTTGATTGATTGTAACGATACTTCACCTCTTGCCATATGCTCAGTTATTTGTATACATGTCAATTGTATCGCTTCTACTTGTTCTTCTTGAATTTGAATGGATTTNATTGACAATAAAATATTCACACACCACCTGGACATTAGTGATCGAAAGACATTTCCTGCCAAATGGCAGTAATAATCACAAATAAATGTCTTCTTAATGTGCCCTACCGGTCGTCAGGATGTCGCGAATTCTTAATATCCAATGACACTAGCGCTAGCAATGGTATTCACTTCATACTGTGGATCAAATTCGTTAGTAGCTGAACATCCATTCTAGCGACAAGACGTTTATATTTCAGTGATTTTAAAAAGTGTGTTTTTATTTTCAAAAAATAATTTTAATCATGGCTGGTTCTAACGCCAACAACGCTGCGCTGTGCAAAAAGAAGACGTTCACTTATGTGCCTCCAGCACCGCCCGCGGATCTCATCGACTGCAGTAATTTTATACTTGACTTCACCGGCCGTAAGTTTTTGAATGTAGGACTTGATCCTGCAGATGAATTTAACACCATAGTACAAGTCATCGAGATATGTAAATATGCCACCTGATTTTCTAAGACGTATATTCTCACTTATGGTGAACATTCTATCTTTTATACTCGACCTACCTCAAAAATACAAGTGAAATTTATTTCTGGAAACAGAAATTATTTCACTATCTAGTATGCTGTATAAAGGGGAAAATATGCTTGTCATCGAATCAAAAACACTTGATGGATGTCGTGTATTGCTAAATCGTGCAGATTTAATGAAATTGCAATATTTAGAATGGTGTATATTTTAAACAGTCGTTCGAAAGTCAACCATCATACGGCCAGTTGTCTTAAAACAATTCGATATGTTTTTGAACTATATTGGTATTGAATCCGCCAAAGTTGATTCACCACCAAAAACACCTGAAGAAATGGTCACATTTATCAAAAATTTATGTGACGAAAGTTTAATTTCAAAAATTCCAAAAAATGATGTCAATTTCATCAGTCAACTCAAAATGCATGCTTCTTCACAATTAGTAGAACGTTGGGCGCAACGATTGAGCGGGAAAATGTCTCCAGAGGTAAGTCTTTAAAACTTATTCACTCGTAAAAATACAATACATATTTTATTATTATTTTATAGTTATTCACTGAATCTGAAGTGAGGTTCATTTTGCCGCCTCAATACTCGAGTATATCCCCAACAGTGTTGTGCTTAGATAAAAAAAAATTATCTAGATATAGATAAGATATCTGAATTTAAAATTATCTAGATATAGATAGATACTGTAGAAATTGAATTTATCTAGATATAGATAGATAAAATAACTTTTATCTAGATATAGATAGATAAAATAATTTTTATCTAGATAAGGTATTACCTCAAAATTTAAATTTATAATAATAATTGAAAATTAAAATAAATTTGTATTTTATTACAATATTGAATATTTACATAATTAGACAATATTCCAAGCATGAGTCATAAGTTGATAACATAATAATATTATCCCAAACATAAAGAAATATTCTGAATAATGCAAAAAAAAGTTATCTTGTGATACGCAACTGTATTTAATGAAGTCTTCATTTTCACTCCCATCAAACATAAAATTGCATACACTTGGTGAAAACTTGAGATCTAGGTTCTAATAATATTGACATATCAAATTTACCTAATTTGTACTATAGAAACTGTGGTGTTATTATAATTCTTATTAAATAGTTATACATGTCGTTTAAAATTTAAACCTAATAAATATTTATTAAATTGTTTAGTAAAATTAAAGAAACTTTGAATATCATATAACTATATGAGTACAAAGTAATCATTTCCCTTCTAAATGCTATATTCCATAGTTTTATCACAGAATATATGAATATAATATTCTATAATATTCTAATTTATAACCTATTCTGTGGTTTTGATATCTTTATCTTATTACCTCGGAGGACGGAGTGATTATTTTATAATTATTTAGTTATAATCATGCTAAAATATTATTATATTTATATAATATTATATTCAAATGTAAGTATACTATAAGATAAAAGTATTGAGCTATTATGACTTCTTGTTAAAAGCTAAAATTAAAAAAAAAAAACATAAAACAATATAGGTAGCTACTTATAAGTTACAACATTACATATCTGTATAAATATAAAAACAGTATACAAACATAATTATTATGTTGAACAAAATTAATGATATATTATAGTAAAAGTTTAAAATAACATACTAACAATGAGTAACAAAATGTTTTCCTTTGCAAATATATATTATACATGAATAATAATAACAATCTATTGTTTAGATCGGCAACACAATAATTTGTTAAATGTTACATCACCAAGACGATTTCGCCTTGATGTCAAAACTTGAACTGCACCACTGAATAATCTTTCGACAGGTGCTGATGACGGAAGGGTTGTGTTGTATTTAAAAAATATTTTTTTAATTACAGGATAATTGTCTAATAACTGTAGCTCTTTTTTTTTTGAATTTAAATATTTTAACACTTGAACATTCATTTCATCATCCGAAAAATCATGATTTGAATTTTGAACACATATATTATTATAAAACTCTTTATCACTCATATTATCACTCTCATCTCCAGAGTCAGAATTTGTAGTAATTAAAGATGACATCAAATTGTATTCATCAATAAACATTTTTTTACATAGATCTCTATACCTAACGGGTACCCAGTCCATTTTAAATTTTGGATGACTTATTGACGCTATAATAAAACTTTTGCTTTTTGGTTCACTTAGATTGTATACAAAACTAAATCGTTTCTCGAGACTAGTCACAATTGCGAGACTTAATGGTTTACAATATGTTAACTGGTTGGACTGTATTAACAACTTTCTTAAAGCTAAAAGAGTTGGAGCTACAAAACCCAAGAAGCTGTTCTTTTCACCTTGCAATTTATCTAACGAAAAAGCTAACGGTTTCATAACATTACAATATTCTTCGATGAATGCCCACTCACTAACTTTTAATTTAGGCAAATGTAATTTTTCAAATAATATACCTACATTTATTTTATGATTAGAAATTTTTTGTGTTGCATCATACAATGAATTCCATCTAGTTACCACAGGAACTGGGAACTTACACTTGCAAACGTCATATATTGTGTCTGATGCTGCTGTACTTCTACTGGCCAAATTCCAAAAGTTTGATAGTTTATTAAAAGTTGACTTAGACATTTTGTTGTAATCATTATTAGAAATTTTAGAAATATCATTGGCTGCAATTAAATTCAATGTATGTGCACAACATAGCATATGCTGAGGTAAAAAAAACTGCCATTGTTACCTAGGTTTGATTCCTCATTTAGCAAATTATTCAAATTAACTCTTTCTGCATCCAAGTCTGAGCAGTCAGATCCACTATCAAAATTTGAACTCTCTGAACTTTCTTCATCAAAGTTCCCCAAATCAAAATATTATATAATATTGTATAAGAATATAAGATTATAATACTGCTATTTTCTTATCGATAATAGTACCTATTTCTGTATTTTAGTATTTATAAACCATCCGCTGCGCAGCTAACCAGATCCGACCTTTCGTAGAACAATATAGAAGCGAAACTCGATCAGGTGATTCGGTTTACGTTTACCTATGATCTGAAGTAGATTAGGAACCTAGGAAACGAGACCGTTTACCAACATGATTTTACATCCTTGTTTACCCGTAGAACCTATAATACTCTATAGAATATAAATTATTATTAATTTATACTAGTATAATACTCTATGTATGTAGGGGTATTTCTGGTTCTAATAATTCTTGTAACGGCTCTTCGGCGTTCGTAAATCGTAAATCGTACTACGGGCGTGAGACTTCCCCGTATGGGCAATATTATAAAATTATATAAATACTTCGCATCTCCCATGCATATTGACATAATAAATCGTCATTATTCCACATATAATATAATAGTAGTATAATATATTTGTCCATTATTGATAATTAATAATAAATGCTTTGTATAACTATTTTAGAACCAATTTTTGCAAGTAATACAAATGAGATTTCTTATTAAGTTATTTATTTTATATTGAATGATAATATTGTAAAATAGTTATTACTAATTATTAGCTACAGATTTTGTGAATTATCTAGATAAATTTATCTAGATGGCTATAATTTTTATCTAGATGAAAATTAGATGTCAATTTTATTTTTTATCTAGATAAGATAAAGATATAAAGTTTTTATCTAGATAAATTTATCTAGATGGCTATAATTTTTATCTAGATGAAAATTAGATGTCAATTTTATTTTTTATCTAGATAAGATAAAGATATAAAGTTTTTATCTAGATAAATTTATCTAAAGCACAACACTGATCCCCAATGCTATCTATTGAAGAAGATGACTATTCAGTGTCACGAGTAATTACGATTTATAAATTTAAATAATTTAAGTATTAATAATTTTAATTTTATAGGCAGCTGACGAGGATCGTGGTATCGAAGAATTTTTAACACAGGTGACATGGGCACCAACCAAGTCATTGGTAATACTCACATTTAATTTTTTAAATAAATATATATTAACAAATTATTATTTGTATAGAATATTGATGTTTCTACCAATCCACCAACGAGATTCTTAGACACGCTTCCCCCATACTTTGATCCAGAGAATTTTGTTCAGCCCCCTCCGTGGTATTCTGCGCTTGAAACGAGCACTGCATTGGACGAAAACGACGGTCCAACGTCTTTTAACCACTCGCCATCGATTCTCGACTTCACAGGTGGCAAGCCCACGAAAAAACGGAACGCGAAACGCAAACTGTTTGAATGATGTTGTTTAAATAAATTTTGTGTAAAATAAAAAAACAAGCGTGATATTTAAAAACAAGTTTTTTTTATTTATTAGATTAAGTTTTTACAATGAGGTTTTCAATTTATATTTAAGACAAGGTATAAAATTATAAAATATATACAAGGTTTACAATTTTCTAACATCTCCACTAAACGGATTATAAGTTATAATCTGATCATGTAGTATTAAACAATAAGCTGCAGTCTTTTCTGGAATAACTGTGTCGGTTTCAAAGTCTATTCGTAGGTCCACGGTCGATGATTTAACGTTATCATTCTGGTACGACAAATCAACAACTATGATTGGCACATAGTTTTGAAAAATATGTTTTGATAATAATGGTTCACAATACTCTCTTTCGTAATACGATTTTTGAAAGTCTGTATAAGCTTTGTAGAGTATGCTGGTGGTATTATTTTTAAAATCAGCTCGAAAGTCTTCAAATGGATACACCTCAGAATTTAAGTGTACCTTAAGATTTTTTAGTTGACAGTGATCAAATCGTCCATCGTCATTTTCGATATTGTTTTTTCTGCTTGTTTGTAATCCAAATAAAACAAATCTAGGTTTTTCGAGCAAACTGCTAGACTTTACTGTCCACGAATGAGAAGTATTTCTAGGGAGCACTGGATATTCACAGAGATCCCAGGTTCTGAACGCGCACGATAGTGTTTTACGAGAATCTAATACTTTCAATAACTTTAATTTTTCTTTATCTCTGACTTTGATAATAGGCATCTTCCAAGTCACCTTAGTCAGTTCAATTGTAATTTTTTTATTTTTATCGACAGCGGTGGTTGCGCCTTCACCCACAACATGTATCGCATCAAGGTCGGTAGATGCACGATTCAAAATCAGTTGCTGATTGCAATTGAGTAATATTTTTTTATAATCTTCACAAAATCCGAGTACATGTTTTAGAGGAATACATCCGGAAAATATATTATTGGTCATAAAATTTTTATTATCTTCACTATCCATTGCCGAGTCCCAAGCCATGTTCTCTAATGCATTCAAATCGTTTGGAGTATATGAGCAGTATGCTTTCAAACAAGACGCAATTCCAGGTGATTTCAATTTCTGTATTTCTATTCCGTTTATTTCATATCGCATTTCAGAGAATAAAAATGCCAATCCGTTATTTGAAAAACGAACTTCCCCCACTGCATCGGTTGGTTTATTTATTTTACCCTCGATGAAAATATAACTCTCACACGGCAAAGTGTAAGAATCCATGTTCTGAATATTAATTCTAATTTCTTCATTGTATGATAAAGCGGAGCTTGAATACGGTGTGAACGAATGGTAACTCTTTTGAGTTATTTTACAATCGTCGACATAGTCGGCCGTCACGTCTAAATATGAGTCATCCATCATTGTAAAGAACGAAGAAAATTTAAATTATTTTTCGTGAGTTTGGTTTGGATAGGTTTGTACTTCTTCGCTGCTAGCGATGTAGACTTCTTAACGGCAGGCGGTATACTGATAGGTTTTTTGATTGTAGCTCTTTTTATATTAAATTTGAGTGCCATATCCACGCGTTATTTGTAAACGAATTGTTATCGGTTCACCACGCAGATTAATCAGACAATCGTTCTGATCTTTTAGCACGATATTTACTTTAGTTATTGAAGTC